GATTAAACACTGATTACTAATATGGATCAGTTATTACCTCACAGAATTATGAGGCTTAAAATCAATTATGCTACTATGTTTTATGAACAATAATGTACAATATAAGCTATAAATTTTATACCAAGTTATAATATTATGATTTCCACTACAGAGACATTTCCTTTTTTTCAGTGATGATTCTTATGAAAATATTATCAACTCCAATTTTTATCAGAAATATATTTTCTTGACTTAGAAATATCTCTCCCATGAGATCTGGATGGCAGCTGTCACTATGTAACTATGGATGTTGTATATATTTCTGTACCCATTCTCTTTATTTTTCAATCATTTCATATTTTTATATCACTAATGTAACTTATTTGAAATGATCATTTCAATGATTGTTCAGATACCAAAATAATTTTTTACAAAAATACTTATGAAACTCTACAACTAAGTCAGGCTTTCCCAAAGTCAATGCCTTGTAAGATTTGGGGGAGAGAGCTGGCCACAGTAATTCTCACACACACAACACAGAAGCCTGAAGGTATGACTGCATCCTCTTCCCTCTGTTTATTTACAAAGAACCTACAGTATGTGATCTTGACAGCACATGTTTCTTATTTGGTCAGTTTGATAAAAGCATACCATGTCAATGGTTTTAGGCCTGTGATTCAGCACCGATTATCAATGACCTGTATGTCAGCTGACGCAGCTGACACAGTTAAATCAGAAATTAGCATGCAGTTTCCTAAAATGCCAGACACATGAACTCTGCACAAGAGAGATATAATGGAACCCACATGATACCCCCATTAAACAATGAAACATGTGACATTAACTAAAAACAGGAACACATCAGCAAATATGCCTGAGGAAGTTTATGGTATTTAACTCCTGAACATTAATTTTATTGTGGTGTATGAGGAACTAATTAACTGAGAGTTTCCTTTTTTATTGGAAGCGGAAATACTGTTCAGAAAACTGATGAAGAGTAAATACAGCATATTTTAAGTTTATTAAGCTTGGCTCATCGACTTCTATTTATTTAAGCTAATCTCATAAGGCAATTAAATATTTCAATCAGGAACTTTATAAGGCTATTTTATTTAGCATGTTTCTGAAAATTTAATCAATGTGTTAAAATGCAGAATGAGTATGTGAATATATTTCTACTTTCCTATAGCCAAAACAGTGACTAAATACATTTTCTTAAAAAAAAAAAAATCATACAATCTTTTTCTGACATAGCTCAGATAAATAGGCAAGTGGAAAATGACAAGAGAAAAACTTTAAAACTTGCTGATTATAATGAAAACAGCTAAGATGAAGGTTGTTCAAAGTCAGACAAACATTTTCATTAGCCCTAATACTACTTCTCTGTAAACAGTTGTTATTGTTCTCAGTCCAAGGGGTCCTCGTTCAGCACGGCAGAGGGAGTTTCAGCCCATCGAAAACATGAAATGCAATGAAATGTTGGTTGTGATTTTTAGAATCATTTTTTTTTTTTTTTGAACTAGGGTCTGTGTCTTGCTGGCACTATATTATTTTAATACTTATTTCTTATAAATAACCTAATAAGACAGGCTCACTGTTATGCACTGTTCCATATGTAGTCTCACTTAATCTCTGTAACAATTCAGTAAAATGGCTTTTATTAATTTATTTTGCAGATGAGGAAACTGAAGTTTGGTCATCTGAATAAGGACAATCAAAGTAGCTGGATGAGGCAAATCCTGATTGCAAATCCATGTGCTTTCTTTTCAAGTACCTTCAACATGTAATTGTCTATATGAGATTGGGTTAATGAAACCAAAGCAAATAAACAAAACTCGACACACTAGAATCTACACTAGACCAGAGTAAAAGTCCCCAAAAGTTCTTGACTCAAGAAATCATGAGCGACTCAGTAATGTTTTCATGGCACCTTTAGGACAAAAGCAATATCCTGTCACTCCATTTTTATTAAATAGCGAAGTTCAAACAACCTAACTATGGTAATTTACATAGTATCTGATAGATGCCTCTGTGTTTTCTCTGAAATTTTAAAGTATCTCACGTAACCCCCTCAAGTAGGGACATCACACTAGGAGCCTTGGTACACAATTTGGAAGCCATGGCATCGAGCACATCCTCATCTACAGCTCTAGACTCCATCTAGAGCTATGTGACACACTGAATGTCACAGTCCGGGCTAACCTACAAAGCCAGTTCTTTTAGAAAAAATATATTGTAAAAGACCTATTTGTTTTACACTATATACAGAAGAAAGGCTGTTTAATGGGAGATGTTTTTCCTACAGATTTTTTTATTTCCATGTCTTTCTGTCAAAATTTCGAAAGCATCTATTGGGGTTGTTGGCAAAGTCATGATTTTTTTTTTTTTTTTTTTGGTTTCCTATGCAAAAATGCATCATGACTTTTCTGATGACCCAATATTACAATAATATAACTGGAAATTTTATACACAGAAACAAAGAGAGACAGAGGACTAGAGACAGAGGGCTACAGTCATTAAAAATAAGAGAAACACCTATTTTCACTTCTGCCTCTAAAATACGTGCTCTGAAGACACAGTAGTTAACCTGAGCATGAGTTGTGGGGAAGCTGTGTATTGCAGGAAGGGGACCAGAGTGGAAGGTGGGGAAAGTGGTACTGACCAACCTTCTGCCCTTCAACCATGTCATCTCAAAAGTCTCTACTGAGCTGTAGAAGTTGGGCTAACACCAATATGCATATTCAAAATGATTTTCATCTCTTTAGAGTATAATTATTTTCTAAGATAAGCAAATACAAAAATGGTATCTTCCCAACAACATAAAACTGTTCTTTGGGTATCAAAGGCACTTAAATTGTATTTTAAAAATAAGTACCTGAAACAAACATCGTAGTTCACAGGTGAAATCTTTCATTAAGAGATCAGGATTCTATTGCCTTTCCAGCAGAGTCGAATGGACTGTGCTCGGACCCCTCAGTCATCCAGGCACACTTGAACTAATTCATGTGTACACTCACTTATTTTATGATTTACTAGAACTTTATTTCATTTCTCAAACTTAATTAAAAGGCTATAATGACTATTTTCTGATTAAAATGAGCTACCTGCAAATATAATTTAGCATTGGAATTCCTAATTATATATTATAAAATCTGGGAGCATTTACATATAACTACCTAGCTGACAATTTTAATAAAACGAACAAGTTAAAAATATAGATTATTGACACTTTTTCTCTCTGAATGAACTAATCTCTGAATAGAGTTAAACAACTAAACCAGTGTTTTTACATTTACATAATTATTTTCAAGTTCTCTACTTTTACTTTTTTATACACACATATTCAGTTTATTTCTATATCATTTTACCTCCTCAGAAGCTTGCAAATATTTTTACATTTTAAGAAATAACGAGGAAAACAGGGCAACCCCACAGCACAATGGTTAAGCCCCATGCATAAGGAACTGGATCATGCCAGGGACTTGTGCGTGTATGTCCAAAATCCTGACAAAATGGAGAAGTGGAGGAAAAGGGACATGGAAAGACCATGCTCTATTAGGGGGTGCTTTCTCCTTTACTCTCTTCCTCTCAGGCAAGTACATGCACCCTCCGGCAATCAAAAAATAAGTAGAGGGCCAGCCGGTGGCATGTCGGTTGAGGGGTCTGGATCTGGATCCCACATGGTCCACTGCACAGTCTGACTTGAAAAAAAGAAAAAACACTCCAGGCACATGTGTATGTATGCCAAAATACTGAGAGGAGAGTGGAGAAAAAGGGATTGTGGCATGGCCATTCCCCAGGGGGCTGCTTTCTCACTTTCTCTGTCTCTCTCTCCAGTGAGTACATGTACCCTATAGAAAATTTTAAAAAACAAAGAGAAAGAAAATAGTTACCTAGATATGAATCCGTGAAGACATACGGTTTCATGCTTGATGTCATAAATGCAAAATACCAAGACAGAAAGTGAGATTCTGGAAATAATGGATTAATATTTGTAAAACTGGTCTACCAAGTAATAAATAAAAGTGAACTACGGTATTCTTTTTTTTTTTTTTTTTGCTTTTATAGAGTTTTTTTTTTTTGGCTATAGGACGCGTGTGCTTGCCAGAAAGACAGAGAGAGAGAGACAGAGAGATAGAAAGCGAGAAATCACCCCCTGGGGGGATGGCCACGCCGCAATCCCTTCTCCTCCATTCTCCTCTCGGGATCTTGAGCACGCACACACACGCGCCCAGCGTGAGTTTAAGCCACCAGGTCCAGGACACGAACCATGGTCAACTACATGGGAGTCCAGTGACATAGCCATTATACTAACTGCTGGTCCCAACTACGGTATTCTTTAACTCTTCTATTTTTCTAGTCAGTTTTCTCTGAAGTTTCTACCTGTGCTATTAATTTACTCTTGCCAGTGCTTAAAGATGTGCATTTCAGCAATTCGGAGTATCATAATAACTACATTTTGTATGTTTCCATACCATATATATACCATTGTATGTATTAAAGAAAAAAATTAAAAATATCTCTCTAACCAACTAAAAGTTGCTTTGGTTTTTAATTTTAATTTTTTTTTTTCAGAAAACAAAACAGGATGTTAACTCAATCTATAATGGTTAGGCACCTCAACTTGTGTTTTTATTGTATTTCTTCCCTATTGGGCACATTTAAAGCTCCTTGTTTAGTTCAAGATATTTTTCTTTAAGTTTGTTTTACATATTTTATTGAGACACATAGTCTAAAGAGGAAAATTTATCATCAGTACCTTCTATGAATAGATTTGATAAAGAATAAATGCATTTTTAATGTACCTTTCATATCTACTTAAAACTAAAGATGAGTTGGTCATTCTCTTTATTTTTTTAAATTTATTTTTTTAAAGGTTCTTTTTTTTAAAGAATTATTTTATTTAACTTTATTTATTATTATTATCATTATTATTTTTCAGTTTGATCAGAGAGAGACAGAGAGAGAGGAAGTGAGAAAGCAAGCCACCAGGTCCGAGACTTGAACCGTGGTCGGCCATGTGGGAGTCCAGCGCCTTTAACCACTATGCCACTTGCCGGCCCCGGTCATTCTCTTTAATTAAGAACTATGCAACGTTACTCCAATAAACGGCTCAGACACCATGGCACAAGTGATAGGTCAGCATTGCAAGACAGGAGAGCCACATGGAAACCCTAGGTTCAGAACTAGGGTTGATCTGAAAACAGAGGGTACACATGTTCACATCTGGCTGAGAAGCTGGGGTAGGATGTTGCCATGGCAAGAAACTGCTAAGGTTACTTTCTTCTTCTAAATAAATAAATAAACAAACAATTAACTTTAAAATTTTAAGATAACTGGCAACTAGAAAAGTCACAAATGGTTGGCAATTATGAAGGGAATAAAATAGGAAGTCACCCCACTGAAGACAGAACATGACAAAATTTCTTTTTAAACTTGGCTAGAGGGTGTATACAGTCACCAGGGAAAGATAAGGAAAGCGAGAGAGAGAGAATGGGAGAAATCCCTCCCCCCATACTGGACAGTCATGCCACAATCCCTTCTCCATTTCTCCCTTCTTTAGGGATTTTTGGGTGTGTTCACACTTATGTCCCAATGTTTATCAAGCTGCCACATCATGGACTCGAACCATACAGTTGGATGTGTGGGATACAGTCACCTTAATCACAATGCCACTGGCTGGCCCCAAGACTTTTTTTCTTTTCTTTTCTTTTCTTTTCTTCCTTCCTTCCTTCCTTCCTTCCTTCCTTCCTTCCTTCCTTCCTTCCTTCCTTTCTTTCTTTCTTTCTTTAATTGCCAAAGTGCTCACAAGAGGGTGAGAAAGAAAAAAAAAAAATCAAGCAATGGGACATGGTCATGCCACAATACTTTTTCCTTCATTTCTCCACCCCTCAGGATTTTGTGCACTCATGTACATGTGCCTAGTTTATTTTTCAAGGCACCAGAGCAGGCTTTGACCCACAGGTGGACATGTGGGATCTGACTCATTACACAAAGGGCTTAAGCACTACACTACAGGGTCAGTCTTCAAGATAGCTCTCCCTACCTCTATTCCTTTCCTGCAATGTGATTAGGGAGGAAACAGTCTGGACTATTTACCACTTACACACCGCTCTTCATTCACACTGAGAGTGCCTGAGCGTCAACAAGAGCGGCACTGTCTTGCTCCTGGCTGCTGCTGAGGTCTAGAGCTCGGCGTGATGTCAGTTTATGCCTACCAGCAGCTGGAAAGGCTTTGTCCTATTTTATTTCCAAGGTTACAAAGAAAGGTAACATTTATCATTGTAAGCACTGAAGTTATTAATATTGAATGGCTAATACACTGACAATTTCAGAAAGGGAAAATTTTTCCCCACCCCATGTACATAAACAATGAACAAATCTAGTATGCCAACTGTCAAATGGGAGTGAGGCAGAGGTGTTCCTGACCTTTCCCAAGCGTACACTTAACGCTATTGTTCATGCTCAGTGTGGTTTTCTCTTCAGCATGATATGTGCTAGTAAATCTTAAAGAACTTACTTTTGTAGTTGCTTTAAAAATCTTTCTTTTCTCTCTTTCTCTTTCCTTCATTCTTTCTTTGTGAAAACATAAGTCATCTGCATGTCTATGTGGCAGGTATAGCCTGAGGCAACTAATTTTTTTTTTAGAGAGATTTTTGCTATACAGGACATGCGCTCAGTGGAGAGACAGACAGAAAGCAAGAAGTCACCCCCTGGGGGGATGACCACACTACAATCCTTCCCGATTCTCCTGCTTTCTCCTCCATTCTTGTCTTAGGATTTGGGGCACACACGCACATGCCCCCAGCATAGTTTCAGGCTGGGTCCTGGACTCAAACTGCAGTCAGCCACATGGGAGTCCAACATCTTAACCATTATGCCACCTGCAAGCTCCATGATTTTTTCTTTCTTCCTTCCTTCCTTTCTTTCTTTCTTTCTTTTTTTTTTTTTTTTTTAATTTTTTTCTTTGGGATATATTTATTTACTATTTCTTTTTTCTATTCTCTTTCTTTTCTTTTAAAGAGAGGACACAGAGACAGTGAGAGGGAAAATGAGCAATCACTCCCTGAGAGGATGACCACACTACAATCCTTCTCGATTCTCCTGCTAGAATCTTGGGTATTCACGTACATGCACACAGCATGAATTTCAAGCCACTGGGTATGGGACTCAAACCATGGTTGGCTACGTGGGAGTCCAGTGACATAACTGCTATACCATCTGCTGGCCCTCCCATGATTTTTTTAAAAAAAATGTCTCTTTTAAAAAATATTTCGGTGTTAAAAATCACTATAAGCATGTATTTATAATGTGAAAAGTAATTCTTTAGGAAAGTAAAAATAAAACAAAAATCTATTTACGATTTAAAACTCAGAATTTATTGTACCAATAGAATTTAAAATTCTAGTCTTAGAATCTAAATTATTCTTACAATTTAAATCTTTGTAATAAATTTAGTCCTTAGTGATATTGGAACATTGTAAAGATTTCATATGGCTGGTTGATCTGATGATCTACAAACTGATGACCCAAAAGTAATATTAAATTAATAAGCTAAGGTTCCAGAGTGAGAACACCATTTTAAAATACAGGCTACCCAAGTCAAGGGAAAGATATACAAAAGCAGTATAAAAATAGCAAAGATCAAAGTACTATAGAAGAATAAATTTTATAGTCATGAGTTCAGATCATTTGTCTAAACTCCAGAGTTATAATCTTATCTCAAACATATTTGTATGCTATAAAATTATACCCCATTTATACAGTATGACATAAAAGTTTAAAAGCTAGGAATAAATGTTAACACTTCAGAAACATCACCTAATGGAAAAATTTAGATTTGATTTCTCATAATGTTGAACAGAGTTTCTCAAATACAATAAATACTGAAGCACAGTAAGATGCTAATGGGAGAAGTTATTAACATCTATATGTGTCAGAATCCATGGAAATTTAGAAATAATATTCTATATAAACATCTAAAATGATAATATTTTGCTATTTTTTCCTAATCTTACTTTACTCTCATCAATGAAAATATTGCAGTAAACTTTCAATTTTTCTATTTTCTCTCTACCGTAGTAACAATGATCTAGAAGCTATTTTGCTTAGCAGTTTCTCCCATTTGGAATGTGAGTTACCATTTTTACCTAATAGAATGCAGGTAGCATTTTAACTCTCTAAATTTTAAACAATGAAGTACCAGTTTGTTTCTGAAATAAACAACATACATTTTACCCAAACATACATTTGGGTAAAAATGACAAAAAGGTATAAATCACAGGCATGTAAGTTAATAAGCAATGGAAGCAGCTTCTATATTGCTTATAATAAGCTATAAAATTATATTAATTATGCTACTCAAAAATAGTTAAATGTTCTACTCTCAGTTGAGATGTGACCATAAATAAGGTAGAATCAGCAACTACCCTCACAAAGCTTGCACTTAAAGTGAAAGAGAAAACACGCAGCGTCCAACAGGCAGTGCTCCCTGAGCTGAGTGGGAAGAGATCTTGAATAGCAAGGAGAGCCAGCACTGACCACGCAAGCTCGGAGTCAGGAAAGAGGACAGTTTGGTCTAAGAGCTAAAAGATGACTAGTGAGAAATTATGTCATAAATACAGGAAGAAGATAACTGAAGGCCAACAAATTCACACTAGGAAATTTGAATGTATCTTACAAGGCCATGAAAAGTTATCGAAAAGCATAGTCTCCTATCTGATCTAACAAATGAAAACATCCTCCAAGTTACATTCGTATTCTGAGAATACACTGGAAACAGAAATTATGAAACTGAATTGTAAAGAGCAAATATTGGCTTCAGAAGCACAGAAGTAATGTAAGCTCATTGAAATACCAACACATCCTTTTCCAGACCTTCTATGTGTTTCCTCTTTAAAATAAAAAAGTTATATGGGTGATCTCATTTCTTGGTGTGGCAGCGATATTAAATGGTCTGAATTAAAGCAGTGCCCTCCACCCTCTCCCAGATGAAAAATCAACAGTACTTACTGCATCCAGCCTTATAGCTGAAGCCGGGAGGAAGGAGGAATCCTTGCTGGGCAGCTGCAGCCAGAGTCCGTTGATCGGGAGGAAATACGGGAATCATTAATGGCGGCAGCTGACCTTGAACCTG